TCAATGAGAGGCCCTTCGTCTGTACATCTGCAGCATCGGCTTCAAGAACGCTCCACCTCAAGAAACACGAGCTCTTCGTTCATTCGACTGAAACAAAAGAGAAATGTAAAATTTGCGGCAAGAGATTTAAAGACTCAACAGCCGTAAGAGCACACGAGAGAACCCACTCGGACCTGAGACCTTACGTCTGTCTGCGCTGCAACAAAGCTTTCAAAACGAGCGAATGTCTATGGCACCACGAGAACAGGAGCAAGGCGTGCGTGAAGACCACATTCGAAAGTCAGTTCACCTCTCCTCTTCTTGTGACAAACGACGCAGGTGCCAGTTGTCAGGGCCCTGCGGAGATCAAGCCGAATGTTGGCGAGTGTCTTGACGCGAAGCCTCCAGTTATGAAGAAAGCAAAGTACCTAAGTGGGGAGAGTGTCAGGTACGTTGCTCATGGCAGTGATCTCGTTAATGTTACTAATTTTGTATATGATAACTCTGGTCACATTGTTGGCAACAACGTCAGTAACAACATCAGCGACAACATCAACAACAACATCAACATCAACAACATCAACAACAACATCAGCAACAACGTCACCAACTACAATAACAATAATGTTAATTACAATAATCTTGTCGAACCATTTGAAGAGTTGACTGGAGTAAAATTACAATTCATCAACAACTCAATAAACAGCCTGCCACCTAACGAGCAACATTCATTTCGGGTACTGAACACTCCATTAGAAAACAACAACGGACAAATCGTTGAATGTCTCGGTGAACAGATTTTTAAAAATTTCGTTTGTTACAGCGCACAGAATATAAACAACATAAACAACAGCAACAACGTCAACAACAACATCAGCAACAACAACAACGTCAACAACAACACCAACAATACATTGTATATCAGCGACAGAAATTTTATTAACATCAATGCAAACACGCTGAATGGCAAAGTTAACTTTGCCGATGTGTTTCTAAACGAAAACACCATCAAAAATTTTAGCGAAAGTAATGGTTTTGTTGCTGACTTGAACAACAGCACCAGCAACCACGATAGCAGCGTTAACACTGAACCACTCGGTAGTGCGATCAGCAGCAGCTACAGCAGCAGCAACCACCACAGCAGCAGCAAGGACGTTTCATTTGCCAACAAAACAGCTACTGATAACAACGACAACGAGGCTGACAGGAAAACATCAAAAAGAACAAACAATTCTCCATTAATAGCGCAACCTAGTCCAGCCTCACCAGCGCTGCCACCAACGACGACGACGACAGCAGCAGCGATTGAAATTTGTAGTAAATCTAAATTTCCAAAAAACAACAAAACGTCAAAAAACGGCAGCTGCAACAGTAACAAGGACTCAAACACTTTCAAATGTTCCGACTGTGAATTGCAATTCGAACAGAAATTTCATCTGAGGCGACATTACCTTTACAAGCACACGAACCAATATCCATTCGCTTGCCAATCCTGCGACAGACAATTCAAAGACATCCTCTCCTTCGAATCCCATAAACTTTTTCATACATCCGGAAGCGGATACCTCTGTAAAACATGCGGCAACATTTTTCCCGATAAGTCTCATCATTTGTCAGGATTGTGCGGGAGTGACGTCACGTTACTACAGCAGGTTGTTCAACAACCGCAACTGCTACAATCCCAACAACAAATTGTAACGCAACAACAACAACAACAACAACACTTATTATTGTTCGAGCAACACCAACAACAACAACAGCAACAACAACAACAGCAACAACAGGAAATGTTAACACAACAACAATTATTAACACAGCACCACTTAATTCAGCAACGTTTATTTCAACAAGCGTTAGTTCAACAAACACATGGTAATCAGCAGCAGCAGCAACAACAACAACAACAAAATTCTCAACCACAAATTCAAAATGTTAGTCATCAATTGAACATCTCTACAAATGATAGCAATCTGAATACCTTCAACATCATCAACAACAACAACAGCAGCAGCAACAACAACATAGTCAATTTTATAAACAACAGCATTAGCAACAACTTAGTCAATTCTGTAAACAACAGTAATAACATAATCAATTTGATAAACAACAATAACAACATAGTCAGTTTTGTAAACAACAATGACAACAAAATAGTCAACTGTAAAAAAACCACCAACAACAATCTTTTAAATAACAACAACATAGTCAATTCTATTAACAACAACAGTAGTAGTAGCAGCAATAGGCCTAGTAGCAACAACAACAACACAGTTCTACTTAACAAACAGACTTCAATCTGGACTGAAATCCTAAATCCAGTTGAACAACTACAAACGCCCATCCCTACTGCCATTGTGGTCCCTATCAAGAGATCTTCATCGTCCTTGAACTTTAGCCCAACGACAAGCAACATCTCATCAACTCCAGAGAAATCTCTCTCAAATGATCAATCAAATCTGCCATCTTTCGATTCATTCATTCCACCATCCACAACAGCCGACTTTAGCTGTGACGGAAAAACAGCAGCAGTAACAGCAGCAGCAGCAGCAGGTACTACAACGGCTACAACTCTTGAAAATAAAAATTCGTTCGTGGACTTTTCTGAAAAGTTGCCTGATATACAATCCATACTCTACCCAAATGTTACAGGTTAAATTTAATTGGACAGTATTTTTTTCAATAAGTTTGTTGCAATTTTATAACAAATCGATGCACCTTAGGAATCAATTATGCTAATTTATGCTAATATACTGTTGTATAATATAATTTTTGACGTCATAAAAGTTCTACAGCTTCTACATTTTCATTCTACGTTGTTTAAATTTGACTTTTTTTAAATATAAACAATTCCATCATTATTGCAGGTATTAAATACAACGTCGTTAGCGACAACGGCAACAGTTGCAGCAACAACAAACATGTGGCGCAACAACTACATCAACAACAACAACAAAAATTACTACTCATGCAACAACCCCCGCAACAATTGCAACAAACCCAGCAGCAACAAGTATTCTACCAACAACAACAACAGCAACAACAACAACAACAACAACAACTATTCTTTTTTCAGCCATCTGCTAGCATTCCGATTGGACAATCGCCTGGTTCATACTTCTTTTAAGGGTGTGAATGTACCAAACATGAAAACCCACTCAACATACGTACAACAATGGTACAATGTCTATTCAATGTAAACTCATCTTCATCACTATCGTCTTCATCATCACCACCACTATCATCATCATCACGGATAATGGCCGTCAGGGTCATCACTATGACCACCATCATCATCTCGTCACCATCATTAATAGATCACCAATATAACGGCAACACTAAAAACATTACTTTTCCGCCAATACCAAGATTTCCCGCCAAAATTCAGCAAATTGTAAAATTTAGTAACAATGTTCCGATGCTTATTTACCATCTTACAGAAACTGTATTATATATTACGTTCATTTTTTATTATTTCTTCAAATAAATAAATATATGAATAAATGATTATTTAATAAATAGATATGATTAATTATTGATTTTTTTTCATGAAAGTTCGGATTTTCTTTATCATTTTTATCTGAAAACTTATTTTTTCTTATGAAAAGAAGCAACACCACCGTTGTCATTCATTCATTCATTCATTCATTTATCCAATCAATCATTTATTCAATCATTCATCCATTCATTCAATCAATCATTCAATCAATCATTCATTCAATCAATCATTCAATCAATCATTCATTCAATCATTCGTTCATTCATTTATCCAATCAATCATTCAATCAATCATTCAATCAATCATTCATTCAATCGTTCATTCATTTATTTATTCATTTACTTAATTTAGTCAATCTGTCCATTTTGCTAAAGTATTAAATAAATAGACGTGCTTTTTCATTTCGTATTTCCATCAGAATTTTTTCAATTTTTTTTTTCTGAATTTTTAAAATAATTTTTTCAAAAATTTCTGAATTTTTTTTTATTTCGGTCTCCTCTTGTTTGTGAGTATTTTGAAATTTTTAACTCGCGCGTTAAAAAAAAACTTCTTCTCTTTAAGGTACGCCATCTTGTCCTTTTAAATATTACAAAAAATTTGGTCAATTCATTGAAGCATAAATTTACGGAATCGTTTAAAATTAAAAATGTTATTATCATGTTATCATTATTTGAATTTTTGAAGTGTTTTATAAATATACATTTAATTGTTGTTTATTAAAAAGCGCGATTTCTCCAAACACAGACAAGCATACAAACAGCAAGTTAGAATATACAAATAAAAACATATATGCACATACTCAACAATACAATGTCCATCAAAATGTATGCATTTATTATAAAGTAGTTTATTATGTATAGAGAATTATGTGTTTTTTAGAAAGCAAGGTTATTCATCCGTGTGTGTGTCTTTATGTTTGTACATGTATGTTTGTATGTATGTGAGATATGTCTATGATTTTGTATTAAAAAACGTACACAAATGTATATATGTATGTATGTATAAGCATGCATGTACACCTGTATGTGTGTGTACGTATGTTTAGGTGTGTGTCTATGCTATTTGTGTGTCTGTGTCATTCATGAAATTGAGTTATATACGTGATTTGGCGTTATACTGAGCTATATTAAGTTATGCTATATTATAGTCACATCAAAATTACTCTTCGGCTCATCATTCGTCCATTAAAATCCATGCAAAATAGAGTCCATCCATTTCTATTTAAATTGTTATATTATTTCAAATGTTTTCTTCTCTGTGTTTGCGTATGTGTGTGTTTGTTAGTGTACGTGTGTGTGTCTGTGTACATCTTAATCATTTCAAATTATCTATCATGCCCGTGCGTTTACCATTGTTATTGTAAAAAATTTACTTAAATTCTCCTTATAAATATGCTAAATATTTCGCATCGTTTTCGACTTATAACATTATTCTCTCTCTTTCTTTCTATCTCTACATATATACACATTAGTATTCTCCCTCTCTCTTTCTCTCGACATTAACAGCTGAACAGAAAAAAGATCATGGTTACATGATAAGAAGTTAGTATTAACTCCGTTAGAATACTTTTCCTTATAGTAATAAATCATACATAAATACATATGTATTATTAATTCTATTATATATAAACATACGGTAGTAACACTACATACATATGCAATAATTTATGAAATTATCCGAATTTCTAGCGTTAAATTCGGCAGATTTCATCAATTACTGCATTAACTTTGGTCTTTTACCAGTATATATATATATATACATATATATGTAAAGTAATAATACTATACTTAAATATATAAATGTACGTCATATTTATAACAATGTATTATATATTGAACTGCAGTCAGTTAGCAGTATATTTGTATATTAATTTTAATGATATTATCATTGCTATTATTATTATTATTGTTGTAATATTAGTATTTAAAGTTAATCGTTTTCCTATTATTATTATTGTTGTTGTTGGTTTTATTAATCATCATCGTCGTCGTCATCGTCGTCGCGAGTTTTTGAGAATAAAAATTTACGTAAATTGTTTCACTGACTTTCATTACGTCATAATAATAATAATAATAATAATAATAATAATCAAAATAATCAAAATAATGATAACAATAAGTGATGCAACAATAATAAATGATGGTAACAAGACAATTATGAATCATATTGCTCCATTGTAAACTTGGCACTTTCCAACTCATGTAGAAAATTATAAAACTGGGGCAGCGTAAGCTCTGAAAATATGGTAATAATTATTATTACAATTAACGTTATTATGATTATAATTATAATTATTATAGTAGTTATTATTATTATTATAGCTTTAGTAAGTCTTGTTGATCAGTCAAACTAATTATTTGCTAACCGAAAAATATTTTCTGCTCTCCGGAGCCGCTGTCTACCGTCAGGTCTAACTGAAATAAAAAAATATATAATAAATAATAATAATAGTAAATAATAAATAATAACAATAGTAAATATTAATAAATAATAATAATAAATAATAATAATAATGGCGGGAAACTAACATCTATGAATGTGCTACTTGCCTTCATCTGATCATTAGTGGCTACTGTGACTGTAATTTTTTGTTAGAATGTGAAAGTAAAAAATTATTTATTCATTCATAATTAAATTTAATTATAGTTGACATAATTTATATTATAATTTTGATTTTGATTAATTTTGACTAATTTTGTACATAATTTCTTTAAGAAATTAATTAATTATCCAAAGTTTTTAAAAGTTCATAAAAAAAGAAGACTGCAGATGATAATAATAATAATAATAATAATAATAATTATTATTATTATTATTATATAATAAGAAAACAAGTCGATATAATGAAAAAAATAACGAAATAAAATAAATAAATATAAAAATAAATAAAAAAAAAATAAATCAAAGCTTCCAGATTCCCTACTTCCAAATTTCCACTTAACATCTAATAATTTGCTGACCGGGCCCGGAGAGGAAGGTGCCTGCCCATTCCACCCCTCAATCTAAGAATAATAATAAAAATAATAATAACAATGATAATAATAACGATAAAAATTATATGAATAATAAATAAATAAGTAGATAGATAATGGGCAAAATAATAGACCAGCTCACTTTGGTAGCAACAAGGATGGAATGTTTTTCTTTCAGGCCTTCAAAAAAAAAGTTATTTGAAAATCAAATTTGAATAAATGTTGAATATTTTATCATCATTTCATTCATTGATGATGACAACGACGTAATCACTAATTAAGACATTCTCCAGACATCATCTTTATGTCTTTCATCAAAGCTTTACATCATCAACCAATCACGTATCACCGTCAACCAATCACACGCATCACCGTCAACCAATCACCTATCACCATATATCAATCACGTATCACCATAGACCAATCGGGTATCACCATCAACCAATCACATTTCACCATCAACCAATCACATTTCACCATCAACCAATCCCCATACAATCAACCAACCTAACTTAACAAGATCTTGAGCAATGGCTTCTTTTGAAACTTTTTTCCTAAGAAAACCTGACAATGTACGAAGTACAAACTTAAGTGTGCGTGCGTGTGTGTGCGTGTGCGCGCGCGTGTGTGTTACAATACTGTTAAGAATGACAACAACAGCAACAACAGTAGTAACAACAATAAATGAAAAATGCCATAACAGATTCACATCTTAGTAAAATATTTCCATTAAACTGTATCAAGATAAAAAAATTTTTTTTTCATAAAAGTTGGAATAAATAATTAAATAATTGATTGATTAAACTAATCAATTAATTAATTAATAAATATTACAACCAATTTACCAATTAGAATATTCTTGAATGATTCAAAAACTCTGTGGAACTCATTCTCTGGAATGTTCAGTTTGGATGACAGCATACTCTTCATTTCATCAAACTATGTCAAAAAAATAATAACAATAATAATACGAAGAATAATAATATGAAAAATAATAATAAGAAGAAGAATTATAATGATTAAAATAATTATAAATATAATGGGTTATTACCTGGTCTGTTTTAATGCCCACAAATGATTTTAATATGCAGTGCAAGAACACTTCAAGTGTCTGTATGTGTAGATAGGTGTATTAGATGACTACAATATGATATGATATGATTTATGATATGATATCATATCGTATCATATACCAAATCATATCATATCATATCATATCATATCATATCATTTATTTTAAAATAAAAAAAAAGTTTATATTTCTGATTTTATAACTTTAAATTTTTAAAACTCAAGCACACAAAGAAGACAACATGACAGGGTAAATAAACAAACAAACACTGACAATCACATAGGACAACATACGTGACGAACTGAAGGATCACCTTATCGTCAGTGGCGGTAATATTATTTAGAGCACGTACTGATTCAAAATCTTCCGTTGGGGGCGTTCCGCGGCAATAATGAAATTCTCGCTGCTGGGACATCGTGACAAAATATCTATTTTCGAAATTTTGTACTGGAGAGAAAGAATTTTAACAAAATTTAATTTTGAATGTTAAATTTTAAAATTTAAACAATTATAATCAATACAATATCCTAATTTGAAATTTAAAAATAATGAACCGACTGGAGGTAGAGTTGGAAAAACCCAAATCAATAAACGAAACAACTGATTACAACTAAAAGTGAACTTTAAATTTAAAGTTGTGTTTCATGATACCATGTTATTGTCATATAGTTAGAATAATATAGTATTATATATCATATTTGTATGCATATATATATATATATATATACATATATATATATATATATATAATAGTTTGTATGTGTGTGTATGTTTGTATGTGTGTGTATGTGTTTGTATATATTTCCATATATATACATACAGGATGTATATATACTTAGTGTATTGTTATTCAAAGCACATAGTTCATAATGATAAATGTTCCGTCGGTTCAAGATACTATATGTCAAAAACGTAGAAATTTTCACTACCAAATCATTTTCATGCCCAGATGATAGAGTACGACATGAGTTTAGTAAAAAACTACCAGCTTCATTCACTATATCAGCACCAAATTTGTAAAAATCGATCTTATAATAATACATAATGACAAATATTTGGTCGATTTAAGATAATTTGTTTCTAAAAAGTCGTAATTTTGATTAGCTCATTAAACATTTTCATGCTCAGTCATTCATTTGTTTTTTTAATTTGTTCATTTATTGATAGAAAACATTATGGTTGAATAACTAAACTAATTCCACCCATTAGCAATTCACAGAGGTGGTTTAATTTTTTACTGAAATTAAGAAGAATATCTAATCCTTTTTCCAATGAAACAAAAATTACCTAAGCCACTTGTCCAATAACTAAAACATTTAACATTTGTTGCTTCTATAAGTAGAATTTAAAAGATAAATGTTGAAAAAATTGGAGAAAAGTTGGATGGTTAACAAGATATGCAGGGCTAGATAGAACGAATAAAAATATGGAAACGCGTGGATGGTGATGGATGGATAGATGGATGGATGGTACGGATGGATGGATGGATGGATGGATGGATGGATGAATGAATGTATGGATGAATGGATGGTGATGGATGGATGGTAATGGATGGATGGTTGGTTGGGAAATTGAAAAAATTATTTATCAATAAACAAATTTATACAAAAAAAGCGAATGAATGAATGGATATTCAAAAAAAATGAATGGAAAAATGAATGATCGAATGATCAGACGAACGAACGAACGAACGAACGTACGACATAATGAAAGATGAAAGAACGGATGAACAAACAAACAACTGAATGGATATTAAACAACAAATCACAAAAAGGACAGACTAAAAATAATAACACAGAAAAAAATAAAACACATTGGTAAACAAACTAAATAATGTGATTGCATGGACAGTATGGATTGCTTGCATACATTCAATTGAGGCCATATTCTTCCTACAAAACCCTCTCTCTCTCTCTCTCTCTCTCTCTCTCTCTCTCTCTCTCTCTTTCTCTCACTCACTCACTCTCTTTCCTTCCTCTCTCTCTTTCTATACACGTGCATTTATAAGTAACACTGTTAAAACGTCAATGCCAAAAGATTCTGCAACCAAAGATGACTTGATAACTACAACATTAATAAACAGGCAGTTGTGACGTCGTTTCATAGATATTATTTCATGTAAAATTTTTAATAATTACGTCATCACCGGAGCAAAATAACTACTACTACTACTACTGCTACTACTGCTACTACTACTACTACTACTACTACTACTACTACTACTACTACTACTACTACTGCTAATACTACTACACTACTACTACTGCTACTACTACTACTACTACTACTACTACTACAACAACAACTACTACTACTAATTCTAACAACAATTATAACAATAATAAGGACTATGACAATAATGAATATTGATAATAGTAACAGTGTTAAAATATTGATACAGCTTAATTTTGAAGGTTTAATTAATTAGTTGAAAATAAATAAAATTATTAATTTAAAATAAATTAACTGAGAATAAAGAATTAAGGAATTAATTAACTCGTTAAAGATTAAATAATTAATTAATTCATTTATTAGAAATAGTAAAAAAATGAATTTTCCGTCTTTCCAAGCTCCACTTATAATTATCGTCCAATTCTACATTTCTTTTATCAGTAAAGAAGGTTAGTCATGGTAATTAATTAATTAATTTTTTAATTGATTTAATTATTCTAATTAATTAAATTTAATAATTTAAATGATTTTCTTATTTATTTTGTTCATTCGTTCGCTCATTAATTCATTTGTCAGTGCATTTGTGTTTTTCAACCGGTCATTCAAGTTGATATTCATTCAACATTCAGGCATACGTTCGATCGTCCATTCATTCATTCATTCGTTCGTTCGTTCATTCATCCATTCATCCATCTATCCATCTATTCATTCAATCACACATTAATTATTTTATTTATTTTCTACCTACATAGACGAGACAAAAAAGTATTTCTAATTATGAGAAAAATGAACCTCTATTTATTCATTGCATCCTCACCATGTTCAGGTTTCTTTGTGTTTCCATTATCGCCCACTTTTGTTTCTTTGGTAATAGAGATAATAATAATAATAATAATAACAACAACAACGATAATAATCATTGTTTTAATTGTCATCATCATCATGATCATCATCACCATCATCGTCATCATTATCACCGTCGTCATCGTCACCATCGTCATCATCATAAAAAAATAATCATTCTCATCGTGATCATCATCGTTCGTCAACATTAAAGCAATTCTTCGTCGTCCAATTGAGATTTAATATCGTTATTACTCCATTCAATCAAGCTTTCATCATCAAAGATATGATATATCACCGGAAGAGGTAACACAAACACACACATAATCATACGCACACACACATACATACACACATTTTCATTCGCACACACACACAAACATACATACATTCACATACAACCATGTATTTATTGTCTTCTAAATTAGTCACATTCTCATCCGAGCAACAACCAATCGGTGAAATGGTATTCGAATGTTTCCGTACAACTGGCCCAATTCACAGTTTTAATTCTAAACAAATTTCTACATAACAGATTTTGGTTTTATTTCAAACCGATATTCACGCGAATAGTTTCTTCAATTTAAATTACTCTCCATGATTATGAAATGTATTAAACTTGAGGAATTTATTTTTAATTTGGATTCAAATAAAATTGCCCTACTTCTTACTGGGTATGGTTATGTAGGAAGAAGAAGGAATGCGAGTTTAAACAGTTAACAGACGAGCTTGTGTGCACGTAAGGCTACCTATTACTCAACACTCCCAGACTCATTCGGCTTAGCGTGTTACTTGGCTCGTCGATATAACTCACATCGTGATACATTTTTATGTGAACTGTCTGGCACGCCTACTCAGCTTTTCAGTATAAAAGGAGGTGATTTCAAAGCAAGGCAAATTGTTTGTTTAGCAAGGGACATCCAACTGATTTCTGGATGTGGCCCTGTTTCTCGAGAGTGTCAGGAAGTTAAAGGGCCGAAACACTCGTTGACGGAAACTTTTCCTCAGAAGACTCTCGCTGAACGCTCGTTGTGCTCAAGTTTTATACTTACTTACATAGATACACACATACAAGTACACATGTACACACAAACGCGGACAGGTAAGTTCATATAACAAACGTTAATACATGGACGCACGTAGAAACATACAATTACAAACATACATACAAACAACCAACTTTGTCTACATAAACATGAAATCTAAGGGAGAAAGAGAGAGAGAGAGAGAGAGAGAGATAGAGAGAAAGAGAGAGAAAGAGAGAGCAAGAGAGAAAGAGAGAAAGAAAGAGAAAATGAGAGAGAGGGAGAGCGGTAATATTTAGCAGACGAACAGACCTTTGGAAAAAAATTTTTGTATCTAAGAGAAAAAAAAAAATTTTTTTTCATTTTTTCAATTTGCTTAATAACTTATGTAATCCGTTAATGGTATTTAAAACAACGTTCAAACACACGCACACACGCACTCACGCACACAGACACATACACGCACATTTCATGCCAACATTTAATTCTGTCCACTTTTACCCTTCCAAGTTTTTACAGATGACCATGCAAAAGATTTTTAATTTTGAATAAACCGATTAAATTTGCTATATTTATATCTATAACAGAGTGACATTTATAAAACCTTTTGATGTTGTTATCATTGATTAATGTCATTAACACCACTATCATCATCAACACCATCATAATCATCACCATCATCATCATCACCATCATCATCATCACCATCATCATCATCACCATCACTACCATCATTATCTTTGTCATCATCATCATCACCACTACCATCATCATCTTCATCATCTTTTCGTCGTCGTCATCATCATTTATGTGATATACTCATATTCCATCTCCTTCTGCCATATTCTCCATGATCAAAAGGAAGGATATTTCCTATGATGTCATCGTGTTTATCTGCCTGTGTGTGAATGTGTGTGTATGTGTGCGTGAATGTATATATTGGTGTATGTGTGAATTTGTTTGTATTTATTGGTGTGTCTTTCAGTGTATATAAGTGTGTGTGTGTGTAGTGTGTATGTGTGGAATGTATATAACTGAGCGTGTGTGTGTGTGTGTTTGTGCCTGTATTGTTAGGTGTGTGTGTGTGTGAGTGTGTGTGTATAAATGTATGGCTTGGCTGGCATTGTACAAAGAGATATTGTATGTATATTTTTTAACATAAACAAAGTGATGCATATCGCAAATATTGTTACTCAATTCAGATAACACCCACACTTATAAATTTGTGTGCGTTTTCACACATACACACACACACACACACACACACGTACATACACATACATACACACACATACATACATACATATATACATACATAACAAACATTGTACATACATACGTACATACATAAACAAGAATACACCTGGATTGCTTG